GCGGGGGAGGGGCGGCGGGCTTGCGGTGCTCGCGTGGGGTCGGCCCCTTCTGTGGGCCCCGATCGTTTCCTAATTGGTGGTGGAGTCGTAGGATGACTCAGGCTTTCCCACCTCTTTTGTAGGAGAGTAGGTATTAAGTCTCTAATAAATTGCGGTTTGGATGGGGTTAACGGCTTTTTTCCCAGCGAACTAACTTAAAGACGTCTAGGAAGGAATGTATACAAATATGGGCAGAGGCCAAAGGGCTAGACCTGCCAACCCAAACCCACGGCCAGGAAGTAGGTTTCCACTCCTAGGGACCCTCCACCGGCTTTCCCGGACTGCCCCTCTTTTCTCCCACTGAGCAGCTGGTGGATTGATTCCAACCCTAGACCTTTCGGTTAACGCACACCACCACCAGCGCGCCATTGGGCCAGGAGGGTTGGATCGGAGCATGTAACACCTGCCTTTCTTAGAGATATCGATGGCTATACCCAAGTGGTGTAGGGGTGGGCCTTTGCGGGACAGGGAGCAGTCAGCTTCTCTAATGAGTCACAACCTTGGAAACAGAAGTTGGGACAGTTCTATTTGGTAGGTCATTCCTTTAGGTTCGCTCTGAATCTTGTCAGAAGGTAGGTTTGGAGTTTAATATAGAAACGTGTACACACACACACATAAAGGTGCAAGTAGGGGTATTTGTGCAACTTTTTTTTTTTCCTTTTGAGACAGAGACGTGTTTTGTTTCTGTCCGTTTGGTTGGAAGTTGTTACGCACTTTCAAGTAGTAACCTACTTCTAGCTGACCCTCCAGAGGGGTTTCAGAGGCAGCAAGTTATGCAAGGAGATGGTAGATGGTCCATCTTTCTCCTGGTGGCGCAGCTGTTGGATCCTGGCCTTGGAGTTGGCAGAGCACTTCTTTACCACTAGTTACCACATGAGTTCATTGGCTGAGAAGCAGCTGAGAATTTCAGGTGATGTTTTGGAGAATAAAAAAAAGGAGAACCAATTGAGATATAGAATACTCTTTGAGTTACTCTCTTCCAGGTCTCCAGACTGGGTGAATTCACTCAAATTAGTAGACTGTTTTCCCTCCAATACTGACAGCCTAACAGGAATGCACATACAGTGTTTTCCTGGAGACAGCTTTTGGGGAATTACATGTTTAAGTAAGAAGAATTACAGAATATAATAACATTTAAATGGGTTTCTCTCATTTTATCACAAATCTCAGAAAGAAAAAAGGACTTTTAAGAATCTTAAGAAATTTTCTTTCTAAAATCAAACATGGTATAATTTCTTGCTTTTCAATACTGACTCCTTCAAATACTGTGCACTTTTCTAATACTAGTCCAAGATACTAGTTAATTTATGAATGTAAAATGACTAAGCTATGACCATTGCTTCTTTCTTTCATTCTATTAACATCAAAAGGAAAAGCTAGCTTATTTTTTGAAGCCCTGGACCAGATGGTTTTACAAGTGAATTTTACAAAACATTTAAAGAAGAACTGTTACCAATTCTACATAAATTATTCCAGAAAATAGAAGAAGATGGAACCCTCCCAGATTCATTCTATGAAGCAAACATATCTTTGATACCAAAGCCAGGAAAAGACAGCACCAAAATAGAAAACT